CCAGGCACACAGAACAGGTAGATCATTGTGTAGCTTTGCTCTTAAATACAAACCAACCAATTTATTAACAATCTGTATAAAGCGTACTCTCAGTGCTGTACTGAAAAATATTTCTAACACTAAAGAGCATCAGACTTTGTGAAACCCAAAGCACGATGAACAACATGGCCACTCCCAAATCCGCACGACCATATTTATCCACACAAGAGTTGCAGCTTACATGGGCATGACAAAGAAATAAAATAGTAATTGTTGGATTGATTTAGTAAACATTTTGTTTCCATACGTATAGTGACAAAGTACAGCAATATTTGAACATGTTACTAAACACCTGCAGCCACATTACGTATTCCGAAGTAGTATGCTCAGTATTATATATATATATATATATAGGGATGTATTTTTAAAAGATCATGCAAAGACTGCACCATGGTTATGATTGAACAATCTTATGCATTCACATACGTGATTGTCATATTTATCCATCCAGGTAAGAGAGAAGGCTGCTTCGCAATGCTAAAAGGGCTATGCAGTGAAGTAAGTTCGTTTTTTTTTGTTTTTGGAGCTATTAAAATATAGAAATTTGTGCTTTGCTGCTACAATTTGCTATCAAAGACGTTAATAGAGTTGAAATATATCGATTAAACGTATTATATATATATATATAAACTCTCAAAATTCGATAGGATATAGTTATCGTTATTTTCTTTTTTGTTGTTGTTGTTAAGCGCAAAGCTACACAATGGACTATCTATTCTCTGCTCACTGCAGGTATCGAAACCTGGTTTTCAGCGTTTTAAGCCTTCAGAGCTACCCCGAGCCAATACCCTGAGTACTTATCACTACAGGGAACTAAGGCACTAAATTGAGCTGCATGTTTTAAATTAGAAAGTATGAAATTCATCTATGGAGATCTTAAGAGAAAAGTTTAGTTACAAAATAATTGCCATATAAAATCATTGAATAAAAATAAAGATTTGTCACGTTAAGAAACACAACAACAAAATATAGAATACAGTTGATTCCATTAAAGAAGGAATAAAGAAAATGTATATGTATCTGAAAACATCAATAAAATAATATTCTGAATCATTATTTTATTCGAAAGACGTCTGTGTGTGTTCGCTTACAGCAGGCGAATTACCGGACTGATGGTCAGCAAACGTAGTATATGTCCTTCAGGGTATTCTGGGGATTGACATAAGGGGACTCTATGTCTTCCCCGTCCATTTAACTGATACATCAACTAGTAAATGTACAAAGGAAACTTAAACTATTGTTCATATGATCATACAAGTAGATTAATATGGAATATGAACATATATACAGTACGTAACAGTTATGCACAGTCAGAAATTATACATACTGTTATATCGTGCTATTTACCAAACAGAAATTCTATATACTTGTTAATATACCAACATATTC